TAAACAGTTGAATGGGAGATGTTATCAATACACACTTTTTTGATCCCTGTCGAACGGTAATTGATTTTCGTTGATCTGTCGCGATGAGAGCGAATTAAAGTAATATTCTTAATTGATATCAAAATAATCGAAGAAAAATGAAATAAAAGATAAACATGAAAGGTTCTCAAGAGAAAAATATTCGCTGATCCAAAAGCCGATAACGGCCGAGATCAACGAAGACAAAACAATCGTCTTGGGAAAGGGTTGGAACATTCAAAAATTAAACAGTATAAAAGAAACGGCAAAAAGCGACTAGTCATTCGATTCAATCCGATCCAGTTGGTCTTCTTCCCTGGGTCCCATCCCCAAGGTCTACAGCGTTCCAGGGCACCAACCGGCGCCAAATTGTTGCCGGGTGCTAATTAGCACCAATTTCGTTCCCGGGTGCTAATTATTACCAAATCATAACCCGGTGCCAATTGGCGCCAAAAGATTCCAGGATGCTAATAAGCACCAAAGTGGTTCCTGGGTGCTAATTAGCACCAAATTGCTCCTGGACGCTAATAGCGTCAAACTATAGCCGGGTGCTAACCAGCACCACACCGTAGCCGGACGCTAACCAGCGTCAGATCGTAGTTTGACGCTGATTAGCGCCAACCAATCCCAGCGCTAATTTCATGTTCACTTCAAGTTGTTAACCCGCACTCCGACCACCTCACTCGTCCCGTCCCTCGATAATTCAACGTCGTTCATCGGCACTCGCCGTTCAGCCCTATCACCCGTCACTCATTGCTTTATCACTGTGATCGATAGTCGATTTCATTATTGCTGTATTGTCATTGTGTTGTAATTCCAGGGTCTCTTCCCCTTTTCCTCGTTCCACAAATCCAATAAAGAGGTCAAAGAAAGGAAGGCTATCGTGCCTTCGAATGGTGCGTCATAAGTCCACCCAACCATGCAGAAAGCCGCCCCACTCCGTTCAACTCACCTATCGATCACCTGACTCGCAGCTATTACGGCGTGCCAACCCCTCATTCAACAATGCGACAAAGTACTGGAATTTTGTATCGACCCGTAAGTCGATCCCCACGAACAAATCACTACTATTCGTCAGACTGCCCGCACCGCCGACACAACTCGCCGCCTTCTTCAACTCAAGCAGGGCATGCTTCAGCAAATGTTCAACCAATGGTCAAGCATCATCAATCAACTTTCCGCAAAAGACTCTCCGATACTCATCGAAGCCGAACACGATTCCTTCCACAAAATGGTTAACGGCCCCAACGGCCTTTACTCCACCCTTGACCAGATTGCCAACCGCATTCAAAAACTCGAATTTTTGGAACGCGACCTCAATACCGCCCTCCAGCAATTACAATCTCCTTCACCCAACCGCCTAGCATCCCCAGCTCGCAATCCCAACCCCAACCCCAACCACACTCTTAGCTTATTACCTCTACCAAAAATGGAGTTACCCATATTTAGTGGCGACCAATCTCGTTGGTATGACTTTTGGGCTCTTTTCGAAACTACCTTGGATCGGCAACCCCACCTATCCAACGTCCAAAAGTTATCATACTTGCTTAGTTGCCTCCGGGGAAAAGCTCTTGATGCCATCCGCGGTCACAATCTACATGAGGACAACTATGAACCAGTCATTAAAACACTTCAGCTGCAATTCGGTAACAAAAATACCGTCGACTGCATGACGAACTACGCCATTTACGTAATCCAGAACATAACTCAACTGATCTT